CTGTAGCGCAAAAAGGAGTTATGCCTCGTAGACGGAGCTGTACCTACATCGCAAAAAGCCCTCTGTTCTGTCGATAGACTGTCAATTTTCTTGAGCAAAAAACACGCTTGCAGTGTGGACGCTCCGCAGGTTTTTGCGCAAAAACCTTGTAGTGTGGATGTAGCCTGGGTGTTTTTCCTGACAAAAGTTGCATTGTAGTGTGTACGCTCTCGGTGTTTTGCCACCAAAAGGCAGGTTTTGGTGACAAAACATGCCCGTGTAGACAAGGGATACCATCAGAGATACCATCTGACGGGGTTTACGTGGTGGTCTAGGTCTTACAGTGGCCCTCTGCAGAGAGATGAATTTTATCCTAAAGAGTGTGCACATAATTTTCCATCTGTATCCGCAGGCTTCAGAAGCTCCTCCGTTGATTTTTCTTCAAGCTTGTCTTGCTGTGTGTATCTCCGTGAGATCTGCAAAACAAAGCGATCTGTCAAACACATCGCATTTGAAGTGCCTAGCTTCTGCTGTTTGCGTTAGCTGGGTGTCAACTTTCAGGTTGGCACGACATAGGAAAAGTGCAATTTCTCACCTCCCGCATGCACGTGTGTAACTTAGAAGCAAGCTGCTTGGGGCAATTTTCCTCACACGTATAAAAACACCCCCACGCAGCAAGCCAGCCCTGTGCCGGTGCCAAGACTGGAAAATTCCAGGCACAGGAACAATGCAGGCACAGCTGAAAAGAAGGGAAGGTGGAAATCAGTCTTAATGGTACCATGGCGTTGTTCACCCCTCACTCACCTTGCATGATTCCAAACTGATAACAGCCTGACTGGGATATTTGTCTATATGTCCATTCATAAGCCATTTCCCCATTATCGGCCGCATCAGATTTCCTGTGCGGGTAACACGGGGCCCTTCCCGACTTTGCAAATGCCTTTGAATTGCTCTTGGCATTTGTTCCAAGTGAGCAGCGAGCCGTTCGAGATTTGCAGCCCGTGACCCATCAGCAACGTTCATGGACCACTCCGGCACGGGTGAAACGAGCAGGTTTATTGCTATCGGCTCCCATCAACCATGATGTAACGTCACTTGGCATTTCCCTCCCCAATGGTGCATGTTCAGGGCAGCTGGCCAGCCGGCTTGGGTGATGCTTTGCTCGGCTGCGTCTGTTCCTGCTCCCGGCCAGGGCCTCCTGGGACACAGTGTACTCATTGCTGGTTGGTTACAACACTAGCAATAACACCTCCCAGGCATTGTGCTGGGCACGTGGAGGTATTTATGGTGAAGAAACGCATTTGCTCTGTTACGACAGTAAACGATTCCTTGGCATTCAGCACTTACGCAATGTCTTTCATTCAAGCATTGCAAAGCGCATTGTAAAAGGGGCTAAGTCATTACCCTGTTTGATGGGGGAAACTGAGGCACAGGATAGTTAAGTGACCTGACAGAGAGTCAATGGCAGGACCTTGGAATGGAATTCAGACTACCTCCCAGTGGCTGCTCTAACCCTTAGACAGCACTGCTTTCTTAATGAGGCCCACACTTCCTCTCTAGCCATCGCCTCTCCCGACAACCCAACAACCTGGCTTCTCAGGCGGGGGGACAATGTTGGCCTACTCTCGACTTCTGTTGAATCCTCTAAGCACTAGGAGGCACCTTCCTTGGTTGTTGGGGGTGGGGGGAGAGATTCATTGGTGTTGCAAGCTGCAGCGAAGTCTGAATGGGTCTGAGGCAACCCTTGCACACAGATGTGGAACTGTGCTGGGAGTGTTTGCTGCACCCTGATCCATCAGCCCATGTAGCTCACGGCGCTAGTGCTGCGTTGTGTAAGGGCTGGCTGGTGGCAGCTGGGTCTCACAGGCATGGCTCCAGCCTACCACGTAAGCTGGGTGCTTGTGTGGCCACTCAGAAGAGATTAAGATGCCGCCCAGCTGACTAGCAGAGAGCCCACAGCTAGGTTTGTGTTTCTATTGGTGGTGCACGTTTGCACGCGCCTTGGTGCACATACAAAACTTATTTTGCACACGGATGGAAAAAAGTCCGCACATGGGTGGAAAAGATTAGAGGGAACATTGCATGGCACCCACATTTTATTTGTGTGTGGGTGTCTGGTAATTTCATCTCCTCCCAGGATTTCCTGCATGGTGTGTGTACCGGTATATTTACATTCTTTATGAAATGAGGCTAATTTGAATATGCCTTATGAAAAATATTGCATGTAGCTGATCATTGGAGAGCTTGCAATCCCTTGAATGTGTGTGATCCATTTGTGGGCATGTATCGTTCCTGCATGTGAAGTTAGAAATGTGAAGCATAACTCTGTTTACTGATCTAGCCCTGCTAAGTGAGGGCCATCACTTAGGGTACTCAGGGAACTTAATGGCTCGGGACTCAGGGCAGTGAATTATGAACAGTCTTGCTTCTCCTGTGAGCCTGGCCACCTGATGCTGGAAACCATTTTGGACCCTGTATTTTTCCACTCAAGGTGAGACATGTTTGATCGGAACACAAAGGGTTCCACCTATCGCAAAATCTATATGAAACCGACCAATAGGGGCTACGGCCAGACGCCAGAAGACCCCTAGTTACCATCTGAGATGCCTGCTGGAAAGATGCACACTTGAACAGGGAAGGAGGGATTGGGCTAAGCTAGGAGGCTGTCTCACTTGTGAGACAAAGATGGTTAGAACGACTGTTAGGGGGAGAAACTGCATGTCACAGGTTTGCGTGTTAAGCTTAGCGGGTGGGTTTTGTTTCATTTTGCTCAGTTCACTTATTTGTGTCTGGCTGCTATTTCTTGCAACCACTGAAATGCTACTTTTAATACAATCACTTGTGCTTATTCATAAATCGGTGTATGGAATTGTCACTGGGGCGATCAACAGCCGTGCACCTCTCTCTCTTTCATTGATAAAGGGAGGGAATGACTGATGCGCGCATCATATATATAGTAGCTCAGTGTCTGTGTCTCTGTAACGCTGTAGCGTTACAGTCTGAGCTCTGGGAGGGCACGGTTGCCTCCTGCTGTGGCGCTCAGCCCCCCCCCGCCCCACCCCGCCCCCTGGCCATGTATGTCACTGCCCTGCCCCCCTTCGCCTCCCGCCATGGCGCTCAGCTGAGTTCTGCGCCGTTCAGCCAGGCCGCCGTGGTCCCCCCAGTGAGAGGCAGGAGGGGAACAGAGGCAGGAGATGGAGGAGAGCTCAGAGAGAGAGGGGGAGGCAGTAGGAAGAGAGGGGAGAGATGGAGCGAGAGACCGGAGGCTCAGGAGAGAAGACGGAGATAGAAAGGGAATAGGACGTGGAGGAAAGACCTGAAAATCCCGTTTTATGATGGGCTAATTGGCTAGTTCTGTTATAAACTGTGCGGAGTGAGATGACTTTATCTGGGGGTCTGGTCCCACAGGGGCCGTGCAAAGTCCCTTTGACTGAGCGCTCCCAGAGCTAAATGGATCTCGGTGTCTCTGATGCTCTGGTGAGGGCTGTTACCCCAATGCTGTGCCGTGCTGGGGGAGAGCAGAGCTTTTGGCTCAGCAGTGCCCCGAGGGCAGGTAGGTGGGCTCAGGGGCGTTTTCAGAACATCAGGTGACAGTCTCAAGGGGAATCTCTCTGACCAAACTCGTCACAACGGCCCCTATGGCCTTGGTTTTCCTGCCTCATGCTTTCTTCTCTTACCTACACTCGTTCAGTGGTGTAGGCAAAGGTACGCCGGGGGCGCTGCTGTCTCTAGGTCTCCCCATGACAAAGTGGATACGTGGCTGCAGGACCAGCACATCCGCTGCACTGCAGTGGTGGGCACGGCAGTTGCCAAGGTGAATGCGGCACATGGGGAGCGACGTGACGTAGTGGGTACGGGAATGGATTGAGAGCCAGAGGAGCTGGATTGGGTTCATGCCTCAGCACTGACATCATCAGGAATATTTGGTGCAGCCTCTTTAGGAGTGTTGGGTTCAGATCCCACCGCAGCCACCATGTTTCATTCACAGTAAGGGATGCAGCGAGCGGGCAGAGTTACAGGAAAAGATTCTTCATTGAGCCAATGTGGAGGCCGGTGGTACATGCCGAGAGGCCTCAGAGTATCTGGAAACGGCTTGGTTCTGCTTGTACCCCCTGAACCCCACTTTCTGCACCAGAGTTGGGCCAGCCGGGAGCCAGACTCGCTTTCTCCAGTTCCACTTGTCATGCTGCAGTCACGGGGAAAATACCTTCTTGAGAAGAGCCGCAGCGATTCCTCTCTGGGAGAGGGAACTCCCCAGAGGCAGCTGCACCCCCATTTGATCACAGGACCCCTGTAGCACATTGTTATGGTAGGAAGGCCCCAGAACCCTACCAGCGAATGCGTAGCACAATCTAGAACAGACACTCTCCAGAGACCCCCGTGTCAGCTGGAACCTGTGTGCAAGGGGTGGGCCTTGCTGGCCGGTTGGTTTTCCCTGATTCACAAAGGTATTCAGGCACCTAACTCCAATTGTATCCTATGGGCATTAGGCACCTTGCTGTAATGGGGCTCCTGCCCCCCTAGTGTGGATTAGGGCCTTGTTACTCACCCGCCCCCTCCCCAGAGAGGCTCCTGCTTGTCTCTGTCGTGGGTGGACCAATGCAGAAAAGGGGGTGAGCAGGCCGGGGAGAGGCAGAATTTTAACGTTTCCCTGCCTCCCCTGCACCAGACATGCCCCTCCCCCATCGGACGTGCTCTCTTGCAGTGTCCCCTGTGGCTCTTTGGGCCCCCAGCACGCCCCTCGGCCCGCTGCAGTAGAGACGCCCAAGGGAGCTCAAAGCCAAGCGCCGAGGCTCAGGCCGTCCCGGTTCCAGGGCAGGACAGCCCAGTGAGCGGAGAGGAATGTGTGTCCCCAGGGGCTGGCCGGGAACCGGCGTGGGAGGCTGTGACGGGGGAGGGGTGTGTGGGTGG